CTGCTACCCTGGTAGGGTCGGGTGTAGGGTGTACCCGCCCCCCCTCAAGCACCATCCTCCTTTCCTCGAGTTTTGCATTAGCCCAACCTTACAAATCTCTGACGAATCATTTATAAGTTGGAATTGAGGTGATGATATTGTATTATTCATATCTGTTTGTGATTTGAAATGAAAGGGAACGAAACCCGGCTATTGTTAATATCGATAAATAAATCAGTATGAATCATCATTGTACATATGCTTGGTTACGTAACTACGAATACCGATTTCGTATATTTACTCTTGCGACATGCTTCACAGATAAACTTTGATACAGAACTATAGTGCAGATAGAATTGATTGTATTTTATGCGAAGGTGACGAAAAGACGGGAATTTCATTATCAAATGCTGTTAGTTTAACATAAAGGAAATCATCAATTCGTTGAAATTCAATGAATGTTTCTGACTTGACTTGTATATTTTGTCTTAGTCACAAGTCAAGTTAAGTCAAAAAAAGATAAACCCAAGCCAAAGTCATGTCAAGTTACTTATCTCGGCGAACAACATCAAATCAAGTCAACCAAGTCAAAAATGACTTGATCCCAGGTCAGCAAATCCGATGCTCGATCCGATCGGATCTGACCGGATCCGACCATCCGACAAAATCCGATCGGATTCCTGGAAACGGAATTGCATTGGAATCCGATTAGAAAAATCCCGTCGGTTGTTGCAAATTTTATGAGCGATCTTTTTAGCTATGTTCTATGATGACCCTTAGAAAATCCATGTTTCGGATTCGATGGGATCCGAGTATGGGATTGTTCGACCTGGGAGAGAGTATAATATAGATAAATTAGTAAACAAATTATTTTGGTGTCTTGGGGATATAGTCTACGGTGCGGTATGAAACCAACAAGAGACAAGAGCAATTCGCAAAGCAAATTTCCTATTTTTTATCAGAAAGAATGCACATAATGAAGAAAAATGAGCGCGTACATTTTCACTTGATTCGAGCGACTTCTGCACCTCAATCAAAGAACAACGAAAAACACAAAACGAAACCATTTACAGAATTTTTTCCTTGGACTTATGCCTTCAATAAGAGATTCAGTGCGAACTGCACAAAGCTGAAAGGATAATTTTTACGTGTATTTGGAGATAATCTACTCATCCGCATTGAAGAAGACCTACACATAATAGGAAAATTACCACGTGTGAATTGTGATTTTGTTGCACAAGTTTTGTTTGCTAACTTACCAATTCTAGAATAATTATTCAATTCATGTAAATGACCTTGTCCTTGTGTTTTAAATATCATGCAGATTATGTTCCACTTCAAAGACTGGCAAGTTATTGAAAAATATTTCTGTTTATATTCAATATTTAATACAGATCTGAGGCGAATGTATTATTGTTTATTATTACTAAGGAACATCTCAATTCGTGAATATACTATCCATTATAATGCATTATTCAACAGAACTCTATGGAAAAAAACAATGGTTTCATCTCAATGCATTGTATTGCATTGTAATGTGTTAACAGCATTCGATTGAGAAAAAGTTTGCTGTGTGTATTCTTATATATAGTGTTTTAAATTCTTTTGATATGACGACCATATAACGAAGGTGAGACTTGCGATTTTGTACCGAACAGACTTTTTCTTTAATCAAACAATTTTAACAAATATATTGATTCTTACTAGCGTTGTACCGCCATTTTATTTATATGTATATTCATTTCAAACGAAAGGTATGTTAGTATTGAATGTGTCGTGACTGTCAATTCACTGACATGAAAAGTATTAATATATTAAAAATAAGAACGTTCTATTTAGCCCGCTATAATCTTATCTATAATAAACTCAAACTTCTGAGTTCGGACAGTTGTTCGGTCCGTTGCATTCTTGCCCAACACTCTATTTCACCTCCGCATACACCTCCAACGCATCATGCAACCGCCCAAAAAGACCCCCATACCAATTTCTCACCTCCTCCCATTCACCCTCCGGTAGAGTCACATGCATCATCCGCAGCCACGCACCGACGATGAAGTCCGCATAGCTGGCCCTTGTTCCGAGTAGAAAGGGCCCACTAGTGTCCCTCAAGAATAGCTTAGCCAGACCACCCAGCATATTCCGGCACGAATCCTTCATCTTCTCTCGCTTCTCGTCAACCAATGCAAAGTCCTCCCAGGACGTAACACCCGCGCGCCGGACGAATTCCGCCTTAGTGATCTCGGCAGTAGCTGGATCGAATGGAAAACCATGAGTCGCAAGCTGTGCATGTGCGGTAAAGGCCGCGTCGACGTTCAAATTGAATTTGGCGTATTCAGGAAATTCGCTTTCACGACACTCCGATAGCGGTACAAGTGGCGCATGATCGTGCGTGAAGATGTAGTCGATAGTCTGAGGAGGGAAAAGATCTCCCGCGCCCGAGTTCGGATACGTTTTCTGAAGGTAGACCGCGATATCGAAGGAGTCGCCGACCAACGAATCAGTGGCAGGATCCTTGATGATAGGCAGGGTAAAGAAGTCGGTGCCATCGGCAAATTTGCGACAGGGCGGGACTTTGAGACTGCTACGGACTTTTGCAATGTCTGGTAAAGGCACCCATGAGGTCGAGTATGGAAGACCTTTGAAGTTGAGTGCCAGTCGTGTTTTCCAGGGATTTGGCGCGCAGCAGTTTTTCTCCATGGGCGGACGCATGGCGATGTCATAGAAGACGATAGGGCTGGATGGAATTGAGGTTGCCGACATAATGAATGACGGAAATGTGACAGAAAGACTTTTCTCCTATAGGCTGGATATTATGTCTTTGAAGAAGAAAATGGCTTGATGATTCAATAGAATATATCTATTAAGAAAAAAAATCAACAGAAGTGATGAAGAAAAACAGTGAACGTTCCATCAAAAGAGTCACAAACTTCTTACGCAGTATATACTCTTTCGATCACACATAGTGCATGGAGCCAAAACGCTTTTTTTGTTCGATAAACGTATGTAAAGTTCAGTTCTTAATAACAGAGTGTTCCAAAAAAAGAAGGTTCATAGATACCTATAGCATTGCTACCTGGATATATTAGTCGATCATCGAACATGGTGCACCGTGAGAAAAGCAGTTACAAGCCCCAAAAACTAGCTTAAACTAGAGAACAGTCTTTACAAGAGACACATAATAAGGACGTCGTACAATATGCTGATACGTTCCTTAATTTTTAATGTAACTAAATGACGTGATTCTTAGATAAAGTATGTATAAGCGCAAGCAGAGTATATTTGTATACTTTAGCTTTTAAAAGAGTAGATATGTGTATCCAACAACACTTCTGGATTGGAGGCTGCTAAATTTGTTCCCAGAAGCTAGTTGTACGAACTATCCGCGCGATAATGGCCGTCACAAAAATCCTCCATTTCACACAGCGTAAAAAGTTTCCATTCGCTCTATTTTTCTCGCGAGTTCTATGGGCTTTGAATGATGCCGCCTAACTTCACGTGGAGTTTCTTGTTAATGTTACTAGAACTGCAAAGGCGGCTGACGACGGAAGAGCCCCAACTATCCAATCGCTTTTGACTTGGAATTTTGGTTATAGATAGGGGAGTTGTAAGACTAGAATATTCTGAAAGGTTCAGCCGAAAGTAGCGTACCTCTGTTATGATATTGGGTTATTAAAAAATGATCGTTTATCGAAAATAAGACGTAAGATATCAGTTTACTTAAAAAGTCAGTATGTTAACAGAGGTACACTTTTTTCGGCTGAAACTTTCAGAATATTCTAAGGATGATTACAGCTATCTAGGGAGAAAATTTCAGGTCAAAACTCCGCTATTTGACTTTTTGCTCAATATTGAAAAAATGGTCAACGATTCAGGAAAAAGTCAGTAGCTCAGCTTTAAAGATCTAGCGTCCCAAATCCTCTTGGAGTTATTCTAGCCTAACAAACGCCTATCTATAGCCAAAATACCAAGTCAATCCCGATTTTTCTTACTTTACCTGTTTTTTGTTGAACAACGTCAGACTTTGCTGATGGTGTGTAATATCTTAGTACCTTTAAACCACCTTTTTTACGAGAAACACTCTCTTTATGGGCCTTATCTCTCTGTTGCTCGATTTAAAAACATATTTCCAGTAATCGGAATAAGACAATATTTCAAATAATGCATGTACAAACAAGACAACAGAAAAAGAAGAAAGCACTTCAATCAATCTAAAACATCCATGCAAATAAAAAAATCCATCGATTCCTATGTTTTCTTAAAATTTTCGAAAACTGTCTAAACGTTAAGCACTAATTGAACATTAAGTTTTTTTTCCATCTTGAAATAGTGTTGAAAGGCGTTGTCGAGATGAGTGAAATCCTTAAGAATTTTATAAATAATTTTCAGTGTGTGCGCTAAAAATAAACTGCGCCCTTTCTCTAGATATGAGTTTAAAACTTCCGGTCAGCTTTTTGTTCCAAAGCAGAAACGGATTTTCAAAAACTTGAAGTCATTTATTTCCACCTTTTTATGTTTGTATCCTCTCTCGATTGGAAACAAAAGTTTAAAGGTTTCTAAAGAACTTGTAGAAAGAATGACGCTCTATGAAACATGCAAGGTGAGTTTTTGTTTCTAAGCAAAGCTTTTTAGCGAGTTTTGTCCCGAAAACCTATTCTTCAAAATGTGTTCATGTGAAAAAAACTATTATAAGCTCAGATGATGGGGTAGGAAAAGTAGTATTAATAAGCTTGTCTAAAAGATATAGCAAGTATTAAATTTGTCACCTTATACAGGCGGATTTGCTCTAAAACACTTACGAGGGAACTAACCGAGATGATTCATCGTTTTTTTCTTCGCCTTACATGCATACTACAGACCTTCATGGGATATGAAAAACCCAACAGGCCAACGACTGATATGGGTCGTTGTCCTTGAGGGTTTTGTCATATCCCGTGAAGTCTGTAGTATGTGTAACGACAAACTAGGTAAGTAGATAACCGCTAGTCTACATGACTAGAATGCGCCTATTTCACAATAAGACGCGCGCTTATATAAAGAAGAAGAAAGAGAGAGATGAACGATATCATTATCGTTACAGTATGCATGCAAGGCGAAGAGAAAAGCGGTGAATCATATCCGGCGGTTCCCTCGTCACATCCCGCAGCGATTCCAGATGCCGAAATTGACAGGGCTAGTAAGAATTCCGACGACTTTCGGAATGGCACTAGTTCACATCTTCATCCTCACACCCTGAAGATTTCTACTTATCAACAGACCTATCCATAAGCGAAATTTCAGCTCGAAATACCGATATTCAGTTTGTCGATACATACATTACTATAGGCAAAAACTTTAGCAAAATGTCTATAACTCTAGATAGAAGGCCTAAAGGCACGAATCCTCTTGAAATCTTTTATACCTCATCAAGGTCTATCTATCACCAAACAGATGAGATCTGAAGGACTTGAACATTTGGGGAGGTTCCCTGGTTGGTGTGCTTTTTAACGTGTTTAAGTTCTGTTTTTGCTCGAAACTTGTAATTTCTCGAGTTTTAACTATAAGAGAAATTCTATTGTAACGATTTTTTATGGAAGAGATGCATGAGCTGATAATATTGCGCCTATATTTATTTCTTTCTCTTAATAATCGCATCGTTCTAATACAAAATACACGTATACACTCATTTATCGACAGAGAAAAAAACAGGTGATATCAAAGTACAGAAAAATGCACTGAAGTAAGGGCAAATATTATGCATACAGTGCATGTAAGGGAGATCGTCACATATATACTCATTGTAATTTAATATTCTGACTCAAATTATAAAATAGCTTTCAAAGTTCAGTGTAACAGAATAGCCCACATTTTTCTGTATCAGTTGCTCTTGTCGCAACAACGAAACAATTGAGAAACTTGCGAGACAAAAAAATTCATTGTCCTTACCATTTTGTCAGCTGCTATAAACTTTTTACCCTTTACATAGAAACACTACCAAGGTAATCATCCGAAAAATTTGCTCATGATAAAAGTATGCACTAGAAAGAGAAATGCATCATGAAAATAATTCATTGCAAAATGTGTTCTACAACAGAAAGAAAAATCGTCCTATGAATATGCTCGAAAAAAAAAATGTGCGTCTTTCTATTCATACGTAGCGAAGGCTTCTAATGTAGGTTTTTATTTGCTTATAACGAAAAGAAAATGTTTGTCGAGCTATTCTTTTTACATTAAAAAATAATGATGTGTAACAGGTCTTGACAGTCGTCTTCAATCTATTGTGAGTGCATTTGTAATGACCATATTAATGCATCATTATTTTGTTGTCCATTGGCGAAAACTATGTTGAACCAATGTCTATTTTACCAGCTATTCGAACTACAACCATCCTCACCGTTAAATCTATTCGCTTTATACACAAAAAACGACAATCTTTATAAAAAGCCACCTGGTGCAATTTCATAACCTTTTCAACAAACTGTTATGTTATACAAATTTAAGGATAGTCAAACGGCCAACATAATTTATATTTGTGATGACTGATGAATATTTAATGAATATCTTTATGAAAAATCCTTCTTACAGTCATACGTTATTTTAAAGTATTAATGAAAATAACGTGATTCGAAGTGACGTAAGATACCTTCGGGCAGGATTCGACATTTTCTTAAGCCGATTCATTTCAGCGTAGGTTTCGATCGAACCAACACTGGTGCCAAGTACAATTCGGGGAGCCCTATCGGTTCCAAAAAGTCCTTTCACAACCACCGATCACAATCTCAACACTGGTTCCAGATCAAACTCGGCGAACGTTATTTATATATTTCTATACATCGATAAGAAATCGATAGAACGATCGACAAATTATTACGAAAGTACGTTTCATGTTTCTTATTCAATATGATGATGCAATGTCCATCAAAAACACAAAAAAAGAATAAAAACATAGCAGTGGATAGTTTTGATCTATCGACCTCTTCTGAGTTATGATTCCAGTGCTCTTCCAACTGAGCTACACTGCTTGTGCAAACAGTTTGATGAAATCTAATGATAAATACTTGAAGCATCTCGAGAATGTGCATGTTAGATTTCGTTACTGAATCTAGAAATCTCGTAATGAAATCACATTCACATCTGCCTACTGAAAAAAAACATAAAATAGCCGAGGAAAAGTCTAATGAAAAAATGAAGCTTTATAATGCGACATGATGGGAAAAACCAAATAACTTCATTGCATATAAATACAACAAATTCAATACACTAATCGTTTCAGTTCGTTTTCAGATTAAAAAGATGACTCAATCAAGACTATCGAACTTGCCAAATGAATTATTTCTCGAATTTTTTTCACTACTTCGATGTTAATCAATTATATTATTCATAATATGGACTAAATGAACGGCTGAACAATCTTATGAAATAATGTCATCCAATTCATTCGACTCGAGGGTCAATCGAAAGCTTGAAATCCATATATCGATTGATAGATCCAAGACAAATTCGTTGTCTTACAATATTAAACAGTGATCAAATGATTTTAATCAATGAATTATTTACACAATCACATTTTCTTGAAAATTGTCCAAGATTATTTATATACGATATACAATCATTAGATTTTATTGAATTAGTAATGACAAAAATTATATTGTACGATATTTATGCTTGAAAACTCTTTATCATAGATTAATTATCAGATTTCAATTATTGAGGGCTGATGGTGAGAGTTAATCTTTCTCATCCTCGTTGTTGTCTGATTTATTTCAACGACATCTTATTTACGTAGACATGTATACCAATGATCCTACTGACACCAAAACTCGACAGTTAAATTTCAATCTTATTCTCTTATTGATTGAGATAGAACAACTTCAACTCGTATTCTTCTAAAAAACAGAAGATGGCGCTTTATTAAAAAATAATCTTTTTCAAATTGTGTCCGAGTCGAATATTCATATTAATATAATTACTGTCTTTAAAATATCTAACCACTTGATAGTAATCTCTTCACTTCATAATTTCACTTAACAATCTCAAATACAACAAGAAAAAGACCTGAATAATGGAAAACAACTGCGATAGATTTGTCCATTATTTGTAGGATTGAAACAACATGTAATAAAGAGCAATGAGCAATAGTTATTGAGAGTAATAAGTGAAGAATTCAGTATAAAACCTGATGTGTAGTATACTAATCGTCGTGAGAAATGTGTGACTCGATTGGTTTCATTCTGTAAGCTTTTGCGGGAAGATCTGGTGGGTTATCCTCTTCATCGGAACTGTTTACTGATGTTGAGTCGATAAACGGGCGCTGCTCAGATCGGCGCTGATTACTACGTGCAGAAATATATTGAGGATGACCTGGTTTTGGTGTGAAGATTTGATCAGGTCTGTCTCTTGAATCTAATAGTTTTGAAATTCTAGAACTTTCGGTCGTCAGAGACGCAGTGCCCGTTAATAGCAGTTCGTTATCTTGATCTGTCACCTCAATATGTCGTCGTAACCAATTTCCAGAGATAGATGATTGTGTATCATCGTTCTCCTCCGGCTGTACATCCGACGCTGTATCATAATATTTGTCATCAACAACTTCTTCTTCTTTTTCGTGAGTAATCTCTGAGTCGCTTATGGTTCGTGAGCGTGTCGGTGGGACCGGAGTGTTTTGTGCAACCGGTATCGGTACTTCTTGCGCTGCAACCACATTGTTAACTGGATTGACTATGGATACGGGTTTCACTGGTTTTCTATGAGCTTTTTCCATACGTAGATGCGACACATAAGTCATATACCCACGATCTAATTCAGAGATTCTCAATGATTTTTTTCTGTGATATGTTTTTAAGAAATGTCAAAGTGCGATGACTTACCATGTTTTTCCCATTTTCGTCCCAAATAGCTGTAATCAATTCGAGGCATCAGCAGTAAATTGAGAGCAATTCCATAGACCAGACGAAAAACACAGTAGACCACGGCAATATGACAACCTAACAAAATAGAAATATGATATCGGTGCTAATCTAATCTGGAAGTATCTCACTGAATACGAAGGTTAAGTATGCCAGGATAGTATAGAATGGCTTGCTAAACTTGATTTCATGATTTTCAGATTGTTCAAATGAAGTAAAAATGCTGAGCCAACTCGTAAGACACTTTTTCAATCCAAATAAGACCGCGAATGATGCAATTATTGAAAATAATGAAAGTATCGGGTGAATTAGATCGATTTGTAGTTTAAGTGGATGAAAAGTCGTCAGACTGAGAATCATCATCACGAATAAGATCAAATGGAACCAAATAAAAAATCCACCGACGATATTCAGAAAAATTGAAGACAGATATTTCACTGATTCGGAGGCTCTTGAGTGAATTTCTGAATTTTCTTCCTGTGGTATATCCTTATAGTTATTTTTTTCCAAATCTTTCGTATGTATCTTGTATGTCTTCATTCCATTTAATATTTGATAGGCAAAGAAATTCATTGTAAGAAAAGCACTTAAAAGAATTTCTTTGTCGAATGACCAGTCACCGATTTCATCCAACAAGATTTCCAGATCGATCGAATGATTAAGTTCACTTATACTCAAAATCTGTTGCAAACAAAACTTCAGAATGGATATAGAACTAGTGCCTACAATAGATTGAAAGGCGAAGACACATGTGAGATAATACAGCGAGATGAAAGAGATGATGTAGGCACATATAGCCATCGTGGAAAATCGAAAATCTTTCTCCCAGGAATAAATGTAATCATCAACAAACTTTCGAACTGATGAACAGAAACCGTTATGGTTTGGGGGATGGTCAGCCAAACTCGTAGACTGATGAAAACGAAATCCATCGTCTGGAGTAGTCGGTGCTTCCGTTGCGATTCTTCGTTTTTTTCTGCACAGTAATATGATGGAACAAATGAAACGAATGGTAAGTTCTGCACCGATGTAGGAAAGTAAAATAAACTGTGGTATGTTTTTGATCAATCCATATATAACCGTCCAAGCACCCAGCTCCTAAATAATTTGACATAGAAGAGACGATTTTTTGAAGACAATTGGAAAACTTACCACGTGACGTTGCACCTGCTCAAGTGTCGATAATCCTTTGGAAAAGGGCAAAAAATCCATACATGAACTTCGACGAATAACAATATATCCAATGTTTCCCAAAGTGTAGATACAGGCAAAAAAGCGAACCCATATGTTTCGTTGGTGTAACGAGATAAATATTGGGTAGTAACGAATGCTACACAACAAATCAACGAATAGAGAAATTCAATGAAAAGAAAAACGTCAACTAACCTATACAGAAGTGGAATGAGAGCACGCTCACGAAGCTGCTCTAGTACACCTCGATTCCATAGTTCGCTCAAATCAATAATATAGTATTCAAGTGTCATAAGCACCTCTATCATCACTATACCAAAAAGTGCAGCAGTTTCATGACGATTGACTGTTGTAAATGGTTCAATCGGTGACACACATCCTCCTAAGTCAAATATGGAATAAATTTCTATCGATTGAATAAATGATTTATGATACCCAGTTGATTGGAATCAGCAGTTACACAAGTTGTATTTATCCAAATTAATATGAAAAAGAGCAAACAAACCATGATTGAGATGACAAGAAATATGCGACTATCTATTCGCCAAATAGACTTGTGTTCGCATTGAGTCATTAATTGTATCGTGCGATCAATTGTCTCTGTGACATCTGATGGATCCATCTTTTCAAATTGAACAGATTTCCAATGAGAGATGATTGGAATAAGACATAAACATGTGAAAAGAGCGAGCATTAATGCAGACATCCACACCCAACGAATGTAATTGTTCTCTTTTTCTTCACTAAAGTTTGAATAGTGACGCTTTTGACTATTTCATCACCATCGACTTACCTTTCCGATATTGATTCCTGATTCATATCATCCACTGTGGAATTTGTACTCCTTTGTGTAGAAACCGACATTGTTGGTTGTTTGTCAAAATATCTATTCGAACAAAGAAAATTACACTTTATCATAAAAATAATCTCAAAACTCACTTGATAATTCTACGCATCAGTTGCTGCTGACACTTTTGCAGAGGTGATATTGTAAAAACCAAGAAAAGAATCATCATTCCAAGACCAACTAACATTTGTATAAATTTCCACGAAACTAAACAATAATCAATACATATCTGTATGCGAAAAACGAATGAAAAGTTCTCTACCTTTTCTGCAAAATTGACCATCCGACCAAAAATAACATGAACATCTAAAACCAGCTAAATTGTTCACACAACGTCCGTTTTTGCCGCATTCCTTATTGTTGAAGCAAAAATCGAGCACTGTGAGTACCGAAGAAAAAGATTCAAACATTTTACTTCGGACTTTCTCCGGCCGCATATCACTCACCGTATTGACATATGTAATTATAGCTTATCTCTGGATTGATATCATTGATTGCACAATATTTTTCACCTGATACCATATAGACAACTAATGTAAATATTTTCGAATCATAGTCTAGAGCATTCCATATTAGCTTATCACAGGCTTGACGAATAACATCGAATCCTTCTGAATCAGTAGGAAAAGTGGATGTTGTTGATTGAGTACTTGTTATTAGTGTTTCAGTTTGTGTATCATCGATTGGACTAACTGAATTGTCCTGCTTTGAGTAGTTTTCAAGTCGAAATCGCCTAGATTTTTTCATCTTTCGATTGTGATATATATCACGAACCTGTTGAAATTTATCATCTGCTTTCTTCCATTCACTTAGATCCGATAAGACGAACTCAGCGCCGAGTTTCCTATCTAATCGAAATACATTCGTGAAATAAAAAACGCTAGTTAGTTTATCCAACTTTACCTATAGAGAGGCGCGAATCAATTTGAATGAGCAACTCCGAAAGATTATTTTTAATCAGAATATGAGCGACATAGTTAAATTCATCCATATGCTTAATATACATTAGTTGAGATCCATTAAAAATATTTGTATTGCATATATCATTGGCTATGCTGACTGTTGATGAAACATTGGACAAATGATGACATGAACCACCGAATCGTTGCCATCCAATAGGACATTGAAATCGATTAACTATAACACACGAATTTATTTGGAACATCATATAAACAGAGCGTTTGTTAGAGTGTGGACTTACCAATCGCTCGACTCTTGTTTAGAATTGACGGTAACTTAGTAATAGACAAAACATGATCAGGATTATTCAGGTTTGAATGTTGCACCGGTGTAGTACATCCATTTTGTCCGAGAAGGAAACTGATCACAAATAAAAATGGCGAAGTCATCATTGTAATTGTTTTTCGTCTTTATCTGTAACAATAGAGTAGAGATTCACAAGAAATTAAAGCTATTTTGATGTCATTTTTTCTATCATTTGAAGTAGTGAAAATTCTTTATTTATCTACTTTGTAACTTTTTATTCCGTTAGCTCTTTTATCCTTCGAACTTTTTTCATTGGTTAAGAATGAAATACTTGCATATCGACGAATAAGTTCATAGATCAAATGATCTGATGTACTAAAGTATATAATCTTTACATTACGAATAATGTAGAATGAAAACTGAATGAACTAATATGATCTCAAAGGTAGAAAGCGTAGCAAAATTTCTCTATATACACAATATATATTAACATATTTTTCTTTGTCTTTTCTTCGTTCGATGGTTTTTATCATTTCTCTTCGTGTATCAAAAAACATACAGATCAAATGAGACGATATGATCAGCTAAAACAGCAAGTGAACATAAACAAACTAATGGAGCAAAGGTGAGGAAAACAATAGGAGGAATAATATAGTTGAAAGGAGTTGAAGAACTGGGGAGAAAAAGAAAAATCAAAGGAAGTAGCAGCATAAAAGGGTCTCAAAAAAGAGTAACCCAATAGTGAAAATGTACACTAGGACAACTTAAATTTCCTGTGAACTCCTCATATACATTGAAATTGTTATCAGACACCTGATGCGATAGATTCTCAAACGCTTCTTCGACTCACATTGAGAAATTTGCATATCAGAAGCTAGGTTGCAGAGAAAGTAATGGATTTTTTAGTAGACCGATAGATGGAACTGAACAACGGATATGAATGGTTGAAGTTCAAAGCTAATCACATGCCAGATCATTAGACATTCTGAAGATCATTTAAGTATATCTCAATCACTTTATATATTAATATTTTCTGTTTCCATCTACAGTAGCTTTGTTTTTCTTTAGTAGATTGTAATATTGTATTCAGAGTGTAAATTATAGATGTCACTAATTGTCATCTATTACCACTTCTGAGTTGTCTTCACATTTCTCTATCATTCTTTTCCTAATGATTTATGTTATATTATTTCTTAATTATCAACATTTACGGTGGTTTGCTCATATCAGAATTGAAGTATAAAAACTCTGTTAGCAAATGAAACTATAAGTTAATACTGAGATTGATGTGTTCGTGGTGAACAATTTATAATCTACAGAATGATGTAAATGACAATGAAGACATCTTTTTCGTTCGATAAAACAAAACGTACCGGTCACAGTGACATTGTAGATCCAAGTCCGCATACACTTTGTCCTGTTTCTTTCAAAACTATAACAGAATAGAAAAAACCTTTTTTCTTCGTGATTTTATATCTATTAACCTTCGTTGCACAATGTATAAATACAGAATGAAAAAAAAAAGCAATCAGTAATATATTTTGTCTCATTTTCCTCTTAGTATCGAGTAGAAAAAGACATTTAAATGCTTCTCATCATATTTTTGTATTGTTCTGTTGGATTAATTTCTTTGATTTTCTTCCTTATTTATTGGAAATTAGTTCGGCCACAAAAATATTATTATGATACATTTCGTAATCAAAAAATTCCATGTGAGCCATTCGTCCCATTGATTGGTCAAATACCTGAAATACGTTGTGCATCTGAAAATGATGCTACGATGGATTATCGTTTGAAACTGATTGAAAAACATGGTAATGTGTTCGTGACAGGTTTTGGTCCATCGATAAAATTAAATGTAAACGAACCGGATATGTTAGCCGATATATTTGGTCGATCACATGCACAAGATTATGGCAAACCGAATTTAACTGAGAAATTTTTTCAACCATTAATTGGAGTTCATAATCTATTGATTAGTCAAGGAGAAGAACATGAACGTGTAAGAAAAATGCTCAATCCAGCATTTCATTTTGTGAAATTACAAGGAATGATTTCAATTATGATTGAACAAACTCGAAAAGCAATTGATGAACTTTTAATATCAAAGACAAATGAGAAAAGTATTGATTTACAAGTTGAATTAAATGCTCTAACATTAAATATAATAACATCAAGTGCATTTGGTCAAAGTTTTGATAGT